CCCCCCCCCCCCCCCCCAAATCACCCCCAACCACCCAACTATTTTTTTATGTGCAACACCCCCTAGACATCCCCCGCCTATGCGCAACCCCATGGCACGCGGCGTTGTCCCAGTATGGCCGGGTCACTGCATGCTGGTGCGATAGGTCTCCACTTGCATAAATCTTTGTCTTTCGGGATAATATATGCCCTCCCGAGTCGTCCTTCTGTCCTCCACTTTCCAATCTTTCCCAAACCTGCTATCTCATAATCCCTCTTGGCATCTTGCAAAACTTCTTCCTCCATACTATCAATCCTCCTACCGCCGTAATTTTTTTGAATTATAAAATATAAAAAAAGGAAAGGTAGGAAAGAGAAATAGAAAGATAAATTATTATTATTTTTTTTAACGGATGGGTGTGTGTGTTTGTGTGTGTGTGTGTGTGTGTGTGTGTGTGTGTGTGTGTGTTTGAATGGGTGTGTGTGTGTATGTGTGTGTTTTGATGTGTGTGCTTCAATGCACCCCATGGCAATTTACACTATGCCAGGTATGATCTCAGATGACAGGTCATCGGCACACCTCTAGCTTAGGTAACATTCGCAAGTATGGTAGATTTTACCTGTAGTCGCGAAAAACAAAATCCACTCGAGTTTCTGAGTAATACCACGTTCTCATGAAAACAGAGCCGCTGTTCACCATATAACAATGTAACCAGTATTCATCCAAACAAGGTAGCGGCGTCAGACAGTCAGTTTCGAACAACACAAACAGTGGATAAGGCTAGTACCAAAAAAGATTAAGACAACACATAGGCTGGAGGGCATTGGGGACGCGGGACGGCAGACAACACAGCAGCTCATAAGGCAGGGAAAAGGCAACAACCAACGAATAAGGCAAGTACCAAGACCAAGAAAACTGAAAAATATCAACAGAAAAAAAAACCGCATTTTTTTTTTTTTTTTTTTTTCAACTATCTCCACTCACTACCACCCCCCCCCCCAAAAAAAAATGGTTTTTTTTTTATGCGCCCCATGGCGCTTCCCAAATCCCCAACCCCCCTCCCCACTGGCCGCCATGCGGCCGCAAAGTTGCACGGCCACTCGTCCGCGGGGTCGCGGACCTGGCCGCGGCCGCGGACTTGGACGCGCTTGGCCGCCGCCGAGGGAGATTCATAGGCACAGAGAGAGAGAGAGAGAGAGAGAGAGAGAGAGAGAGAGAGAGAGAGGCAGGCACTGTCCGTGGCTTTTCCTGTACCGAACAAGTGGGGTCATTTTCCAACCGGGACCCGAGTCCTGCCAGAAGCATAAAACAGGGGGCAAAAAACGAAAAAAAACGGGAGGGCCTGCTACCAGCACCTGTTCCCAGGTCAGTGCACAGGAAAAAGAGAGGTACCACTAGCCCAGGCCAGTGGCCACCTGCTTTTTCCCCATTATTGAACGGGTAGGCCGTCAAACACATGATTTACTGTTTTTCTTGAGTTTCTAACTGGTGGTCTTGGCCCAATCTTGCAGTGGAGTGTTATTTCTGTGAATTCTGAACTGTGCAGTGGTCACAGGCGCAGTTGCCTCACAAAAAAAAAAAAAAAAAAAAAAGAGGAGACTTCGCGGGGGTCACAAAAACAGTTCGAAATTGCATTACAAACACTGTTTCTGCAGTTTAGTCAAACTCGGCCCTGAAGAAGGGTCCCACAGCATGAATTTGAGACGGCATTTCAGTCAGCCATGTGGGTGGGTCTGTCCCTGGGCCATGGCCCCTTTGGATAGGTGCAATTGGGCCCGTAGCCCAGTGCAAAGTGCACGCATGTAGGCTGTTAGGCTGGTACTGGCTTGTGTCCACATACGGGCACGTCGGGCAGTGCCACCCCACTGACAAAATGCGGGGAATCTCCTCCTGCCATCTCTCTCTCTCTCTCTCTCTCTCTCTCTCTCTCTCTCTCTCTCTCTCCAGCTTCCACTGCCGCCCGCTCATGCCCTATCCCGCTGCCGGCGCTCACTTCCCTACTCCCGCTTCCGACTGCTGACCTCCGTGACCTCCCTACTCT